TCCTGGCATTGCTACTAGGAGCAAGGACGCTACTAGGGGCTCCTGGCCTTACTACTAGTAACAAGCAGGTTATGCAAGGATAATTATATCTAGGCCTCACACCGCCGGCTTGCCTGACAGGATCATGGAGCAAGAACATGTGCATCCATCAGCTAAAATTCACCAACCAAGCTGCCGACTCTTCACAATCCGGTATCCGCATGGATTCACTACTTGGACTGACTTCATAAGCCTCATGGTTCATTTTACGGCAACATCCAAGATGATTGCTTCACGATGCCGGTCCTCCACCGCAAGGGCTGCGAACGTTGCGCAGCCCATGTTATGCTGTTGGGTCGGCAGCCTTGGCACTTGTACTACGCTCGATTATTCTACCTTGTTGCTACTGTCTAGTAGATAGCCCAATATTGAAGTAACTAAATTTATACAATTGCCATTGATATTCTTGGTAGTAGCAGTAGCCGTAGGAATAGAAGTAGTAGCAGCAGCAGTAGTAGCAGCATTTGTAGTAGTAGTAGCAGCAGCAGTAGTAGCAGCAGTAGTAGTAGCAGTAGCAGCAGTAGCAGCAGCAGCAGCTGGAGCAGCAGCGGTAGCAGTAGTCAGAGGAGCAGGAGCAAGGCACAGTGGAGGCTGAGACCTGCTCCCAGACCTATCTAAGTCAGCTTAACAAGGGGCGGTTATAGCAGTTGGATTTCGGGGTCTATCTGGAGGCCATCGCTATTAGGCTGGAGGCCAGCGCTATTAGGTTGGCCACGTGTGTTGAGTTTCCCGAAACATCTAGGAACCAAATCATTAGTGCGAGCGAGCGCTATCCTGCATCCAGTTATATACTAGTAGCTACCTAGCTGACCTAGCTACTACTATACTACTAAGTAGCTACCTCTCCCTTACTTAACTAAGTAGGCGCCTACTTAATTAAGTGGGGGGAGGGGGCTTAAAGAAAGAGTCTTTAACACAAAATCGCCAAAGTTCTTGGAGGATATCAGCCAACCAGGTGAGGTCCTCACGACAACCCTTCTTCCGCAACCTGTCACATCACTGCAGCGAGCTGTACATGGTTGCTGAACAGGGATGACGGGCTGATTTCGAAATTGACGTGGGCACAAAGCCAAGGACTCCAAGGATGGACCATCCAAACTACAATCCAAATCTCTTCTAATCTCTTGCCGCCCTTTTGGCTTTTCAGTCCATGCACAGCCCTTGGTTAGCAACGCTGGACTCTTCAAGAACTGTTCCCATGCATTCAGTGTCGCCTGGGTGGTGTCGAGGGCTCCAGCCTTTGAACCTCGGCTCGATCTCCAAAATATTGGGACTTGGGCAACTGATCCCGTAAAGACATAAGAATCACAAGATTATATCAGCGCATTCCGAGAACAAAAACCAAAGCACTTCTGTCATGAGTCATGGACCTCCAAAGAAGTTTTCCAATGCTGCAAAGCCACGTAAAGCACCACCCTCGAACTCTGGTGGCTCGCCGTTGACTTTCTGCCAGGGGAGGTGAGGTGACAATGATTTTGTCTCATTGAGCTTGGCACATTCCACCAGCCAAAGCAGCAAATCATGCCATAAAATATACTGTATGTTATATATAAATATATCAAATGTGGTGGCTTTGTTGACAGAACAAAATAATCCCTCGGCCCTCTGGGTCCATGAAAGAATACATACTCTCTGGTTGTTGGTAGCAATGGTTTGTATATACAGTAAGTCCAAAATGTAATCTTTTACACTTCTGCACATATACATGGAAGCCAGGAACTATAAAAGGCCGAAATACATGGCACTGCAAACCTATATTTCTGGCTGCTATGTTAGGGAAATGTCTAAGAAAAGTAGAAACGCAAACTGACATAGAAGTGGAATGCAATCCATGGACATGCACAGTTTTCGCCGCTAACATGGAAGCCGGCCTGCATGTGTTGCCTCCTGGTGTGTGCCTTCCATGTTAGTGTAGCTATCAGTTTGATATCCTTCAGCTTGATATATGACTGCAGTGCTAAAATACTGTACAGTGCGGTACAGTAAGTCACTTGGCTTGGGGCTACTGTACATCCTTCATGCAGCTTTGAACCCGACATCCAGGCCAACGACAGCAAACGTGGAACCAGAAAAGTTTAGATACATACACATCTCTTTCCAGGATAGACCTGTGACCCTGCCAAAAATTGTGACTGCTAGGTTAGTGTTTTTTGCAAGAAAATAATCATTTTACCACTAACATGGCACTGCAAATGCTGCTGAAGTCAAGCAGCGGTGCTTTCTAAGTTAGTGGTTTGTCATTGGTGAGGCTCTGCTAACATATATCCCCCCAAAAAATGACTCTCTGCTTCTACATATTGTGCGGAAGAGTAGACCCTAAAGCACTCCTTTAGGCTCAGGGAGTGCCAAGACCGAAGTGAGCTTTCAGTCCCCTTTCTGTGCTTGCAGGATCTTGCAGGGACAATTCGGACGCAAGCACGCTCCTCTTCTTGCGTCAGCATGTCATCGACCTACAGTGTTACAGCATCCATCCAGCAACTGCATATACACACCTTTCTTTCCACGTTGCAGCACCTACAGTAGATGAACTCCACGTATGACCCCCAGGTCCCCTGCAGCTTGGCACATCTTTTGTTGTCGGACCTTCAGCTTGTCCAAGGCCTTTCACAGGTGCCATGCCCCTACAACTGTTCCCAGTACAATTTCTGAACATACGACCTGCTGATTCCTTGAACGGTGTGCGATAGGTGTGTCAAGTCATAACAAGAAGCTCTTTCCTTCCTATCTTTGGCCAACTCCACAGCTGCTGCCATGAGCATGTCCTGTTTTGATTGCTGCCCGCCACCAATAGATTGAAATACCCGGCTTATAATTTTATCGTATATCATATCATATCAGCATAAAACCTGCTGTTGGTACTGCTACAATGCAACTTGACGTGATTATCGTGTATACTGAACTTGTCAGCGAGTATGACATCATGCGGAATCATGCGTCCTACATGTTCATGTCCCCCCATGCGCCCGCTGAATCTCGTCATTTCCAGTGTAGCAGTTCAATCGCTCGCACCTGCCATGGATCGTGGAACTTGTCAAGAGCAAGAAGAAGACACAAGAACGGGTGACACAGTGGTGTGCCGTAGCTTCAGAACTTTTCCACCAAGTAAAAATGGCAACGCTATATCCACAGAAGTTGCTCGTTCGGTTGCTAATCTATTTGCCTGCAAAGCTTAGCGACGGTGTGACAGAACTGTGTATGCCTGCCAAACATGTTGTTCAGCTATGTGATGTGTCATGGTGAGATGTGAAAGCGGACGTACTATGTGAAGACCAGCTATCCAACATGTTGTCCAGGCCTTGGTTTCATGGGGTGGTCGGCTTGACAACGTGATGTCAATGGCACGCAACGCAACGACATCACATGGACATGTTCAAGCAATCACGTCGTGCTTGTCTGGAGGTTTTGCAAGTGTTGGACCCCTGAGAACTGCTGCCAAAGTTTCATGGATGTTAACTGGCCACCCTACCTTTTCGCCTATACTTTGATGGGGTGTCCCAATAGCTGGAGTAACTAACTAATTAGGCAAACATAAAAGAAGGGTGACTAGACGACCGCATACAAACATAGCCACTAATTGTATACTCTGTTGAAACACCTTGGATAATGATGTTAATGTACAATTGCAATGTAGAAAAGTACAGTAGTAGTAAGACTCCATGACCCCGCGAGCAGTGCAGCACATCCAATCGTCTCATCTATCAATCTATCAACATTGATCCAACACAAACATGTCTCCTGGTCCTGCCTGCCACCATCACCTCCGAGCAACAAAGCAGGATGTAACAACCATCAACCGTTGCGTTGATGCAAACATAGAAAACACTTTCAACTTGACATTAACCAAAAGCGGTTCTGTCGAACATGAAAAAGCTGCTGGCATTAGGTGCTGTAGGCCATAATCCTAACCCCATTCCACCAAGCAAGGTGGTCCGTGCCTTCGTCTAGGTATTCAAGTATTCGGTTTGATACAAGGCTGGACCGACTGCATTGCCAAGGTACTAAAGTACATTGAGTGAGGTACTATGATTGTAATAGTCGTCGCTTAGTGGC